CCGACTATAAGACGATACTTTTTTCTAAAATCCTTACCCTAAAAACTGAAGGGCGTCTTATTCAAGGAAGTCAGCCAAGAATCGCGGGGTTGCAAAACTGCCCATACTTTGTCTCTGCAAACAGGCTTCCTCCTATCACTAGCCTCCAATCACAAGTGAAATAGCTTGTCTCCCAAACAGACTTCCTCCAGTTGGTTTGTTCAGCATCAGCTGACGTCAGTTACATCAGGCTCGTGATTGGAGGAAGTCTGTTTGGGAGACAAGCTATTTCACTCGTGATTGGAGGCTAGCGATAGGAGGAAGCCTGTTTTCAGAGACAAAGTATGGGCAGTTTTGCAACCGCGCGATTCTCAGCTGACTTCCTTGAATAAGACGCCCTTCAGTTTTTAGGGTAAGGATTTTAGAAAAAAGTATCGTCTTATAGTCGGAAAAATACGGTCCTTCAGTTTTTAGGGTAAGGATTTTAGAAAAAAGTATCGTCTTATAGTCGGAAAAATACGGTATATTTTGGCAGACTCTTGTATTAAACTTACCTTTGTCGTCTTTCTTTTGCTCTGAGCTTTTCAGTGACTTCAATGATCTCAATATATTCTTTTGGAAGTATTTCCAACATCTCACAGAGTTCTGAAACTCGCATTTCTATTTTTTTTAGCATCTGGAATGAGGTCATGCTGGATACTTCATCTGTTTCACAGCAAACTCTATATACTTCTGTTACTTTTTTAGTAAGTGAATCCAGCATTTTATTCTTATGATATAAAGAAGAGCATTAATATCATTAGCTACCCATAGTCTTGGGAATGGAATAGGGCATACATTTTGGTAAATAAATACATAAACAAGGTGGGGCAAATTCTTAGATTATATTAGAAAAACATGAATCAAAGCTTACAATAAAATATTAAAGCTGAATTCTAAAATACCTAAATTCTAGAGGTAAGCATTTCTGAAATTTAGAGTAAGCTGTTCATTATATAATTCTAAACATTGCTAAAAAAGGAAGAAAATGAAAATAATGTATAAGCAAAGTTGGTGTTCACTCAGTGAACGAGACCTGACAACACAAGGCTGGCAACATACATTATGCAGATTCAAATGCATAAATGTTAAAAATAAATGCAGTATGTTGTTCAAAGAGGCATAAAACCAATATGGATGGAAACACAAATGGAAGAACCCAGTGCACATTGGAAGAAGAGGTGTGCATAATATTTCAAGGTTGAAACATCCTGCTCCTCGGTGCCCTGTCCGGAACTCATTGGAAGAGTTCCAGTGTTGGCGTTGGCTCTTCTGACCCAACCAGAACTGCAGAGTGGGGACTGGGATCATCCATTTTAATGTCCAGCTTCTTCTGGTAAAGCTGGAAAATCCTATTCCTTATTAAGGGAAGCAGTAAGTAGGATTCTGTGTCACTTGCAAAAACAGCTCAAGAGGGGTTCAGCGAGAAGGAAAAAACCCATGCAAGACAGCAGAAGAAGCCACTGTTCCTCCACAGGATGTTTAGTAGGGATTTGGAGCCAAATAATTGCATGTATAAGAAATGGAAAAGCAGACAGATTACCAAGGAAGGGTACATACAGATAGCTAACAATTGAAGAGATGATTGTCAGAAAAGTTAAAGACCAGAATATTTATTATCTATTTATTAACCTGTTTTTTATAGCTGCCTGCTCAGTACACCACTCAGAATAAGCTGAATTGAACAAAGGATCCTGGTAAAAACAAAAAAAGGGCTTCTTCAGATATGCTCAAAATAAAAAAGAAGGGGAAAAATCAGTATACTGTACTAGCTGCTCAATGAAGATGGCAATTGAATGAATGTAAATACCCAGGACCAGGTATATTGCATCCTAGCACACTGATGGTCTGATCAAGACTGAATGTTACCTTTAACAAATCCTTGAGAATGGGTGAAGTGACAGACAAGCAGAAGACAGCAAATGTTGTGCTCTTCAAAAAAAAATGATGCAGAGGACTACAGAACAGTCATGCTTGTCAACAGCCCCTCATCAAAGTGGAATGAAGAATCAAATTGGACAGAGTTCAATCCTTGGTTATATATTTATATTTATATATAAATATATAGACAGACACACACACATACACACACATGTATATGTATATTCATATTCAATCCTGGGTTGTATTGAGGAAGTGGGAGATCTGCAGATGAGACAAAACTGAGTGGAATAGCCAACACTCTGTTTAAACTAAACTTTATAGAGAAACATTAGCATAACATTTAACCAAAACAAATGTGTGTGATTTAAAGTACAAATTGATTGCACAAGTATTGAATGGTAAAGTCTAGCTTTGATAAGAGAACACTGAAGAGGTTATATAAAAAAGATATTGGAAAAAAATTAAAAACAGTTGTTGTTTTTGAAATAATAATTAATTAACAACCTCAGTATTGGTCAAAATTACAATGTGGCTGCTAAAACATTTAATGCAGTTTTAGACTATGTTAATACGAATACAGATTCTAAAGCACATCTTGAGAGCCAGTTGGGTGTAGCTGGTTAAAGCTAGAAACTGGGAGACTGTGAGTTAGCCCCTTCTTGGGCAAAAAGCCATTTCAGTAACTTTGGGCCAGTCACACAATCTCAGTCCTTGAAGAAGGCAAGGGCAAACCACTTCTGAAAATGTTGCCAAGAAAACTGCAGGGACTTATCAATGCAGTCACCAGGGCTCAAGAATGACTTGAAGGCACCAAAATAAAAATCACAGTAGTCAGACTGCATTTCAAGCAGTCCATGAATCTAAGGGGATATATTACTTTTTGGGAATCTGAAAGGGTGCCCTCTGGAAAAAGTTAAAGACCTGTTTTGTCTCTCCATAATGTAGGACATGGAAAAGACTTGAGCTACAGGAAGTTAATTCCATCTGAACGTTAAGGGAAAAAAATAACAAAAAAGAATTTGACAGTGGAACAAATTGGGCAGAGGAACGGTGGCCTCCCTTTGTTGCACATATTCAAGCTAGAACATGTTCAAGCTTGATTATTACATTGTACAGTGTGTGTGTGTTCAAACTCTGATTCTATGAATCATAAAATGTAAGAGTTGGAAGGGACCTTGGGGATCCTCTAGGCCAGTGTTTCTCAACCTTGACAAGTTTAAGGTGGGTGGACTTCATCTCCCAGAATTCCCCAGCCAGCATGCTGGTTGGGGAATTCTGGGAGTTGAAGTCCACCATCTTAAACTTGCCATGGTTGAGAAACACTGATCTAGGCCAATTATAGCCTAGATATCTTCTGGTCTTTTAGTTCCTTCACCTAGTTACCCAGCTCTCTAGAGAAGGTACTAATGGTGGGAAAGGTGCAAGGAAGGAGAAGAGGATGACCAGCAGCAAAGTGGATGGATTCAGTGACAATGGCAATGGGTCCACCATTGGAAGGCCTGAAGGGCCAAGTTAGGAACAGATTGTCATGGAGCAAATCCATTTATGTGGTCACTAAGAATTGACCCTGACTTGATGGCATATAATAAATCAATAAACCAATCATTTAATTACCACCACCAGATACTATAATGGCAATCAGTACCATTACTCTGTAACTAGTACCATTAATAAATTGCTGATGGTCAGTTTGGATGTTCTTAATTATACTCAGCATTTAACTGCCACACTAGCAATTTTTAAGCTAAATGTTGCCCACTGGCATAGTGACAGGATTGGTTTCCTTTGTCCATCAGCGATGAGCCTGAGTCAACACCCCTCACCCTCCATTTGTGTCAGTGGCACATAGTATTCAAAAAGGTGAAGTCTATGGTTTGAACTCATCTTCTGGTGACTTCTTGTACACATCCCCACAGCTTTCCTGGCATCAGAATGGAAGTGTTTGCCACTGCTGCCTTCTGGGATGTTTTTTGACTTCCCAGTCTAACCTAAACCTTGATATTTCTCCCATCCAAGGACAAATCAAGCCTGACCCTGCTTAGCTTCTTGGTTTAGACAAGGTTGGCAAGGTGCTGCCACTTGAGGCACCAGGGTATTACATACAGATAAGAGATACAAATGCATCAGCACAAACCATGAACTACCCTTTTTAGACTGAAAAATTTGTATTATGATGAAAATGGTTGATGCTTTCAAACCTACCATGGATGCTGGGTTATATTCTCCTGAAGAAAACATGTTAGCTTTTAATGCCAGTTCAGCACTTTTCCCATCTTCTTTGAGGCAAGCAGCTATTAGAGCTTCTTTTTGGTCTTTAAGGTGCTTTATGCTTTGTTCCCTATTAAAAGAAGCTATAAAAAGTTATAGCTAGAACTTTAAATTAACTTGTCTGTGTTTATAAATAGCTGAAGTACTCATCACGCTTTTCTATTCTGACTATTTTCAGCAGAGGAAACAACACATTTTTACTAAAGCCAGACTGATTTAACAGGAATTTTCTGACTCAGGGATTCTTGGAAATTGTCATAGAGTGATTTGTGGCAGAGATGGCCCTGAATTTGTAGAGGTATCATTACAAACTGGCTAATGCTGTAAAATAATTATGCAGATGGTCTGTTACTAAGAGCTAAGATGCCTTGATTAGGAAGGACATCATTTTTTTTTTGACTGAAAACATCTTTTAGAAGAAATTGTGAAAAAGTGTAAAACAATACATTTGGTAGAATAACATACAATGGAATAATCAACGATTGTACTGAAGGGGAGAAGGCAGCCAGGATAGGATAGGAGGCAGATGTTGGAGGGGCAGCTGTGGCAGCTCTCTAGCTGTTCCTCCTGAGTCCCGTCATGGCTCTTTTTCCACATGCCATAAACCCTGCTCTGCATGCTCTGCTACCCTTATGAAGGGTGGAGGCTATTGTCTGATTACCAGCACTGGATTAAGATTCAATTTCCAGTCCAACTAACTTCAATACATGGAATCTGTTTGTAAAATAAATGATGACACCAAGTCATCATTTATTTTACAAAAAGAAAGCCAAAATGGAGAAGCCATGTGTGAAAAA